TATTTATTGATGTGGGTTAATTTCAGGAGCATGGAGCGACAGTCATGACAGAAGACGTAAACCTTTAATTTTCTTACCGATTATTGGACAGATTTTAACCGATGGATTAAACTTAGTGAATCACTTTTGGCATTGGTCTTCAACATTTAATACAATCTTTACATCAGTTATCCCTGGATTGTACGTCGGTCGAAATATGTTTTGGATTGGTGTGATGTCATATGTATCAGAAAATTCAAAATTTGAAAGTAGAACTTTTAAACACGGAATAATTATTGTTACATATATCTTTAGTTTGTTAATAGGGTGGGGCTTAGTAGAAATTTTAAAAAGTGGGATGCATCATTTCTACTATTATTTATTGTTCATAGTACCGATATTGTTTAATTTGTTTGCCATACTGATTGGCCATTTGTATGTTGAGGATAATTCTGATATTTATAACAAAGACTATATGTGGTTGAGACCAGACTTTTTGCTCAAAGGTTTCATTGATTTATTTGAAAACAAATGTAAAGGGTTTCCTATCGTACTAGCAACATTAATAATATGCCAATCAGTCATAGTAGCGAGAATCGGAAGTAAGTTTATTATAAAATAGTGTATAATGCCCATTATATATATATATATAATATAAATTGATGAGTCAAACTGTTTAAATATCAAAGCGAACCGAACTGAACTTGATGGTCGGTTCAATTCCAAATTTGAACTCAGTATGAAAAAATATGAACTGAACTATCAATCATCTTTTATTGTTCGGAAATCAAACTTCAAAATATTCTTAATCAAACAATATCTAAAATTATCTAATTCAAGTAATTACAATGTAAGTGTAACGATTGTTACATCATAACTTGTATTATATTAATATAATATGTACAATAGATAACTATTTATTATATACATAACATAAATATTATTCTTAATACATATTAAGCCCCTCCTGTTTTGTCACACATATATTATTGAAAGACTTCGGCCAAATATGAATATGTAAGAGAACGGCAGTTCTCTTTGATTAAAATCACGCGCACCAGGACTCCGAGATAGTCTAACATTTTGATGAACCTTGCTCGTAAGTAATAATAAACTTTTATGTATTAACAGTTATTTAGAGCAATCTGTATTTGTTTGTAATATTAAAATCCTGAATACCCTCCATTCTCCCGAGCAACRGTTAAAATATATTCAAAAGAAACTAACTTCTTCCYTGAATACCATATATATTTTACTGATCATCCCTAACTACATTACATAAGTATAATAAATAATAATAGTATTTAACTAATAATTATTAATTATTATTTTTATATAACTTGAATTAGGTATAATAAAACAAAATAAAATGCTGAGTTCGAATTTTAGTTTCATTAAAACTTTTTATAGTGCTGTCTGACTTCAGTTTGGTTCGACACCAAAAAATCATTATATAAAATACATAATATTATTATACAATAGATGTAAATAAAATGTATATTGTATATATATATTGTAATTCCATAAATAACATATATTATAATAGGTAATGCACTTTTCTACCCTCTTAAATTAATATTTCAGGTGAATATGAAATAATAATGCAGTATTTAAGAACTTCGTTTGTTTGGTACAATGATGACTATATTTATTTCTGTGTTATCAAAATGTTGGCGATAATCTTTGGTAATTACCTTGTGTATTTTATTTTAASCTTGTTGTTGATTGTTTTTATAAAAATGATTTTGTAAATAAAAATAATAATACATATAGTATTATTCGATATAATTGAGACATTTATAAGAACAAGGATCTAAGGATCTAAATTCAAATTTAAATTTTTTTTCAGGAGACAAATTTTTTTGATAAATAAGTTTTTTTGTTTCCTAAAAATAAATTAAAAATTTGTATTTGGCACTTGTTCTTATAAACGTCTCAATTATAGTACCTACAAAACCATATAAGTAATTTATATTCAAAACAAAATCTACCAATTATACATATATGTAGTAATTAATATTTTCTAAATTTAATATTAGTTTGAGAATTGCAATATTAATTTTTACAATTCTATTTGAAAAAAATTAATATCATATGAAAAATCAAATTATAATAAGTAATAACAAATATAATAAATTATGTTCATTCAACACAATCTATATCATATAACTATTACCCTATTATCTATTTATTTAAAATAATTTAATTTAAATTAATTTGTTAAGCTTAATAAGTTGTGTAGGAATTCATTCAATACTGACATATTATGTACTGTTAACTTATTTATTTTAGACGCACATAGTTTCTTCTTAAATTTTATTATTTTATAACTTAAATGTTAGTAATATCATAACCCTGTATTTCTATACAGACAATAACAATTATTATTAATAAATCCATGTTTTGCTAACATTTTAAACACTTTTTTAGAATATAATTTTTATATTAAATAGGTATAAATGTCTAGTAAAATTGTATTGAACAGTTATTATTAGTTTGGAGTTAAGTAGACATTAATATTCAATATGGTTGTGATTTATCAATATTGTTGCATCAATCAATTTTATTAAATCTAAAACCATGTATATTTTTAGTTGAAATTGTCTAGACCCACAAATATGTAGCTACATTTTTACAAGTTACATATTGTTTTTATATAAGTTTATATCGAGAATTATTTTCAAAAGTATTTTAATAATATAYCAATAATACATCATTATAATATCCTTTTTTTAATTTCAGGTACTATGTTCTCAGTTTTTGTGTTGAGTTACAATATGAAAATAAGTGACCTAGCTATTGGTATTTCAGCTTGCATCATTTACATCATTGTTGCTGTATTATACGTAATTTCAAATCAATTTTGGCAAATTTTTATTAGTAAATATTATAATAACCAACTTTTAATGTTATAATTTTTTTCAATATTATCAATATACCTACATTATACTTTATCGTGACTGAATAATGATATTCTATTTTTTATAGTTACCATGATATATTTTTGCCACGGTAGTGCTGTGACTATTACGATTTCGTTAGCATCTAAAATGGTGGAGAACGATCATCTTGGTATGGATATTAGTGTATTTTTAAATGTATTTATTATTGTAAAACTTAATTTATTGTTACTCTTGTAYTAGGACGATTTTATTCTGTTCAAACGTGTATGAACTCGATGTTGACGTTTGGTATAATTATGGCATATAAGACCATTTCATATGATAATAATATGTATTCTACTAAATTCGGTCATTTTTGTTTCGTAATTTTGATGTATGTCATTCTGACTATGCCTATTTTATTTGTTTTTATGTGAGTAAAATGCTCTTTATCTCAAAAAAATATTTTTAACTTATAAACATAAATGCACTATTTTTTAGGACTCTATATTCGAAGTACAAATACTTTTGGAAAAGAGATGCTACAAGAACTATAAGAAGAAGACAACAATCTCTTTATGCCATAGCTAACTAATTAAATAATTTGATAATTTAATAATAGTTCCTGGTATCTGTATTTTTTGTAAACTTTCAAATTTGTTTGGAGATGTGGAATTAGTTATTTATATATTGTATTGTATAGGTGTTATAATTGAATTACTTTTATTATATTGAT